AAAAAAAAAAAAAAAGATTCACAGCCTCAGAAAGCCAATCATGACTGGGAGTCAGACTCATTAGCAGTGAGTTTGGCTTTTTTTTCGTTTTCCACATTGCAAATCTAAACTTTGGCTGATCCAACTGACCCAGCAGGACTTCAGAAAACAGAATTGGCAATCTGCTTCTGTAACCACAACCAAGAAAACCCAAATTCAGTTCTACTCGGTCACATGTGCAGTTGCCAAGTGTCCAAATAAACTTTATGGTAATGGATTCTGTTTGGATTTTATTTACTCACAGATGGCGCTGCATCTGGAAATCAGCTCTGAGTCAGATGTTACACTGTTCTTGGATGTGTCATCCATCATTTCCATTTCATCTGAGTCAAATATTTAAAAAGTTGTAAACTTATTCATTGTGTTGACTTAATAGGAAATTCCTAAAAATGGGAATCTGTCCTATAAATTGGCTTACTAACTTCAAAGGCACTGTCCCCAGTGAAGAAGCCACATTTCTCTTCCCACAAATACTCTCAGTCCCTTTCTTCTCTTTATGCCTGTAATGATACATCTTCCCTTCCTTTCCAGGCAAAAAATAATTATGAAGAATGAAGAAATTTATGAAGGGCGATCTGGCAGACTGCCCTCCGTTATTACTTATGAAGATAACTCAGACATTTTAGAAGATGATAGCTGTAGTAATTAAAAAGAAGACATAAAGAAAAAAATTGTTCACTGTAACTGAAGACAGCAGAAATACCATCTCTGCAGAACTGGAGAACTCTTAGCAGTTTCTCTTGAGATACATGTATGATAGGTTTAATATTTTGATTGCTTTGATTCTGTTTGCATCTTTTCGCAAGTTACTTTCCTTGCAGTGAGTGTGAATATTTTCATTTTCATCTCACTGTGTTGTTTTTCATTATTTTTGTAAAAGGATGCCCTCTATACCTGGAGCTGAGCTTCCTCCAGGCCCTGTGTGGTTTTTCTCTTCCACCTTTATAGAGAGAGACCCAAAATCCTTCCTCCAATTAAACATTGACTATTTTTGTGGATGTCCCTTTTCATACCCTGGACTATTAAGTTGGGAAGAAATAATTTTCAATTTTATTCCAAAACCTTTTTCTTACTGGCATGTTCCCTTCTCCCCAAGCTCTTGGTCATGCTCTGTAATGACTCAGAAGGGTTTCAGATTCTTTTTACCACCTTCTCTAAAGTATTGCTGGGATTCCATTAATTGCTCACAGAACAGGCAAAATCAATAAGTGGAATGGACTGATCATAAAAGGCATCATACATACAATTACTGAGATAATGGCAATTGGCCTTGATGGAGGGAAGCTAGTGGGGACAGGGGAGGGGAAGAGAGGAATGGGGAACCCTCAGTGTGTATGCCCCATCTGCAACAGGCACTTCTCAGCCCCTTTCTATCTCGATTGTATAGGAGCTTATATATGGTCAAGGTTGTCAGTTATGCGGATTTTTCAAAAGAAGGTATTCTATTTCCTATGTGACATCTGTCAATAAATGTTGGAAGTTAATGGGGGCAGGGGATCGAGTGCATCAACATTGGAGGAGTGGAAAGCCTATTTGTTATTGAGGGATTCTGACTCATGGTAATTTGTGCATCAGAGTAAACTATGCTCTGCAGGGTTTTCATTCAGTGGTTATTTTTTCAGAAGTTAATTGACAGAACTTTTCTTTTTGAGGGACTCCCAATACTGGGGAAGCCCAAGTAAACTATGTCTGTCCAAGCAACCATTTTCCATCTGTGAGATACTGCTAAGGCAAGAAACATTTTCTCTCTCTCACACACACACACACACACACACACTCCAATTTCCAAAGAACAGTAAAATAAAATAATATTTTCTTTATCAAAGCTATCCTTTAAAAGTTCATTTCTTACAGATAACTTAATTCCTAATATTTAAAAGGATGGAGCACAATGCAAATATAAATGCATGAAAGGAGCATTGCTGACAAAAAGAAAATTCTGTGACCAAAACAGAAATGTGCATTTATTAGATATTAGGCAAAAAAGGCTGAAAAATTAGTTTGGGGGAAAATAATAAAAAACTTGTAAATAAGAGCTGACATTTTTTTCTTATTTCTATTTGAGAAGAAATAATCCACTAAAGTAGTGTAGATGATGGATTGGAAGGAGAGAGACTGGAAATAAATATAAACAATCAAGTTCATGTTCTCTTCTGCGCTTTCCAAACTGAAGCGAATGGTGTCCTTTTGAGCAGTCCTTTGAGCAAGGAAGACCACTCCCAGGTCTAAGCCTAAACAGATTTGTTATCTTTCATCTAAAAGCAAGGGGGGGGGGAAGCTTTTTGGATGAAACAGTGTCTCTTGCCCATTGTTTAAGAAAGGAGCCACAACAAGGAGACATGCTTGTTTCTGACATTTTTTAAAATCCCATTCACTAGCAGGAGTCAAATTGGATGTGGGAGCATTATTCACTGAACTACCTCACCTGGGAGTTTTGGGCGGCAGGTGGGAGGGAGACATGACATAGTCTCTATAGGAAGTTGTACTTCACATCCAAAGATGGCACCTCTCTGGTTTAAATCCACGGCTGCTTCATGGAAGAAAGGTGGCCAATCTCCTCCCTCCATGATTTACAGCCTTCAAAAACCTTCTGGAGGGTCAGCTATGACTTGGCTCCTATTTGATGAGTTTGAGTTGTTTTTGTTTTAATTGAGGTTATCATCTCATTGTCATCAAGTCACTTCCAACTCACAATTGACATTCCTTTGGGTTTCTGGAGCTATACATTGCATGGGATGAAATTGCCCATCCTTCTCCCAAGGGCCATTGGTGGACTTGAACAGCTGGAGAGGTGCAGCCTTTGGGCTAGGGCAACTCATTATGTTATCAGAGCTCCTTTGAGATGGGCAACAAAAATCTATGCAAGTAGCTCTTGAAAAGTATCATTGCCATTCCCCTGGATATTAATTATACCTTGAACTCTGCCCGATAGAACCTATATCCAGGCAGCCGAGATGCATGTCTGACATACTACCTGAGGCCTTAAATTGGAAAGGGTTTTCACCACTTTCTCTTATTCTTGTGACTTTTAAAGATTCTATGCTACTTTATTATTAAGGGCAGTTCAAGGTTTGAGATGAATTCTTAAGTCCTTGGTTTGATTATTTAGAAAAATGTCAACCACTTGGAGGGGATTAATTGAATTGGTTTTGGGCTGAAGATAGTTAAGATATGCATAAAGAAACATTTTCCCATTGTGTTTGGACCTTTTGTGATATGGTGGGTAGGTTGGTGGGGTTTTTTTTTTTTGCAACTATTGTAAGTTTTAAGTTATTTTCACTAATTAAAAATACAAATCAAAAGGATGGTTCTTAATATCTGATTCTGGCTGATATTTTGCAAAGGCAGAGAGCTGGACTTGACTTTGCAAAAGCATTAGGACAACGTCTTGACTCCAATTCTCTCCTTCCTGCCATTAAAAATAAAAGAATGCAAAAGCAGGAACATTAAATTTAGCATAGTGTTATGCAAAATAAGAATGTCTTTAACAATAATTATATAGACACACTTATTGATATAGAGAGGTTTTAAAGAACAGGAAACCAAGTGAAAATGGAAGATGAGTATATAATTTTACAACTGTCAAATTGTATCTTTTCATAATTATCACATCACTAAGTATCATGGCTCAACAAAGTTGGCACATGACCTTTGTTAGTGACATGTCATTAATCACAAAATAATCAACAATAATCAACAGAATATTTTACTACTACTATAAAAGCAAAATGCCATATAAGAAGATTGTAGGTAAATTATTGGGTGTAGTGTCATGTAGATAAATACTGGCATCAACTAAGAGGAAAGAACAGCTTTTTTCTCAGTGTGAAAGTGGGTTGTGGCATCTGTTTCCCCATGTTTTTCTTGTCATCCTTACTGCTCACTTCATAGTTCACTTCTGTCAGGATGGTGAGAATATCATCGCCTCTGAAAAAGACAACAACATCATGAAACAGGGTGAGAGAAAACACCACTGAGCTGTTTTATCTACTCTACTCACTAATGGTTCTTCCCCTCCAAACATAGGGATTTGAAATGATATCTGGCTAAGTTAAGACTATGGTCTCTGAGTGACACAAAGAGTGTGTGCACAGCTGAGACCTATAAGGTTGATAGTTCAAACCGTGTATCATCACCATAGAAGAAAGACCTAGTGATCTGTTTCTATAAAGACAACAGACAAGAAAACACTATGCAGCCCTGTTCTTCTCGGGAACAACTAGGACTCCACGAGCTAGAATTGACTCAATAGCAACTAGCTTGGGTTAATTTGTTGTTATTTGTTGGTTTGTTTTTGGTGTTGGGGTTTTTTGGGGGGAGGTCAATATTGCCCAGATAAAGAAGTCATTGTGAGTTTAATCAGTCACTCAAAATCAACTCAGAGCTGATTCGTAACTTGGGTTTCTAAGTCTGTAAGTTGCACAGGAGAAGATTGCCCATCCTTCCCCCACAAAAGCACTGGCGGATTACAACCATCAGAGAAGTGAGGCCTTTGGGTTAGTTATGTGAAGCAGGACCCTAGAGCTCCCTAAAACATAATAACTTATCCTAGTAACTATCAGAAACCACAATGTCAACATTAGATTGGATTTCTCTCCTTCCTGACCTTTATATAGCTGTGTTCCATGAACTATGTCACTTGGTTCTATGATCTCCTTAATGCTCCCAAGACTTTAGCTCAGAGGACATTGCTTCTGTGATTTATCTATGATCCTGTCAAATTTTGTTGTTGTGAGCAACAGAATCAATTCCAACTTTAGCCGCCCTGTATGACAGAGTAGAAACCACATAGTGTATCCCTAGGGCACCATCTTTATGGAAGACGATCACTAAGCCTTTTCTCTTGTGGAGCTGGACAATAAAATTGGATTTCCCTGTCAGGGACCTCGCCAAAATACTGAAGAGAAAAGGTGTCAGTTTGAAGACTAACGTGTGCCTGATTCAGGCCATGGTCTTGTCAATCTCTTGCCATGTATCTGAGGGATGGGCAATGAAGAAGGATGATAGGAGAAGAATTGATGTCTTTGAATTGTGGTGCTGGACAAGAGTACTGAATATCCCATGGATTGACAAAGAACAAACAGAAATCTCCTGGCAAAGGTGTAGCCAGAGTGCTCCTTTGAGGAAAGGATGGTAAAGATCCATCTCTCATACCTTGAACATGTTGCTTGGAAAGGGATATCATGCTTGGGACGGCAGAGGGTAAAGTGAAAGAGAGGAAGATTCCCAATAAGCTGGACTGATGCAGCAAATCGGAGATGGTGAGGATGGTACAGGCTAGGACGCTAGGACACAGCTCAGATTTGTTGTTCAAAGTATAGCTGTGAGTTGTACTAGATTTGATAGCACCTAACAACAATAGCAAAGCCTCAGCAGCTCTCTCAACTTTTCGTTTTAATTTTTACATTCATACTTGGCAGCTAACCCCTAGAAATTTGCAGGATTCATGGTCTCAGTTACTATAGGAAACATCATGTTGATAAAGGGTTGTCCTGCTATAGGAAATTTTCACTTTACATATACTCAAAACATAATGAGATATAAAACTAGAAGGAACTTGAAAAGGATTCTTTGGTATTCATCTGTTAGATGTTTGTGTGTACTAGGGTAATCTGTGACATAAGAAACTGTTATTTAATAGAAACATATAAAGTACAAAATGAGAAAATGATATTGTTACATATTTCACAGTGTCAAAACAGTTTGACTCAGTGGGAAGATAAAGGCTTACTACTCTTATTTCTGGTGAGAACATTATCTCCTATGATGCACCAAGAAGACTTGAGGTTAGTTAGTTACTATGGAATTTTTCAGAGTTCAAGAATGTTTAACCTTGGAAAGGTTATTACCTCCTTGGAAAACTCTTAAAATTAAATGGGCTGACTCAGTGACGATCCTACCTAAAAGAGAGATGGACTACAAACTTTACCATTCTGTCCAGCTCTGTGATAGCCTGATTGTCTTTGAGGTATAGAATAATCCATCCCTTGGTAAAAATCTTCCATCTATGAAATATGAACTAAAGATGTCTTTCTCATCTCTTGCCACCTCTCAGTTTGCAGATGAGCTGGAAGGTATATCCATCTAGCCAGATGATCTACTGATTGATATTTAGAGATTAATGGAAATACTCCCTTGGGACACAGATCTGATCTGTTACTATTAGCCATAAAGCATTTGGAAAGGACTCTATACATAGATAGTCGTGGTCATGGGGAGATAACTAGTGTAACACTAATAGGTAAATCTGGACAGACAAATATTACCGAGGACATCTTTCTGCCAATCTCTTGCAAAGTGACTGGATATACCAGGTCCCCTCTGAGGTACTTCGGTAGGAAACGTAGTTGTTCACAGTGGCCATGCCCAGCAGGAAGTCGGCTTCAGCTGGAATGTAGCTCTTCGAAGATGAGAAGGTTGTTTCTAAACTGATGTCCTGCTGTTTTGAGTCAGTCTCAATAGCTATACCTTTCTGGTAGTTATCCCCCTGGCAAGCCTGAATAAAAAAGAGTTTGGGCTTGCCTGCAAGGGAAGGGCACTCTGAACCAGTGAAATAAGAGGTCAGTTTAGAGATGGAGGCCTTCTGACCATCGGTGCCATAGACGATGCCCCTGTCTCCATGTGAGAGGATGCAACAGATGAAGCAGTCTCTTTCATTGTGGTCCTTTTTTTGGTAGGATTCCAAAATTGTAAAGATTCTTTCTGCTGTGCAGTCGTTATAATGTACAACTTCAAAATGAAGATTACTAAAGGTCTTTTCCAAAATGTCTGAAAAGTGAAAGAAGAGAAACTCTTACATTTTAGCACTGTAAACCAATCACAACCCAGAGCATTTCTCAAAAAGCAAAACAAACAGCATCATCTCATGGTTGTTCCATTAGAAAGGACTCACCACTGACTCCCCATTAAGTTTCAGAGGCTGTAAATCATGTGGAGGAGATTGTCTGTCTTCAAGGAGTGGCTGATGGATACAAACTGCTAGAGAGGTACAGCCTTTGGATTAGCAGCTAAACTCCCGATGGATTGTGCTATGAGAGCTCCTACCAGTCTAACAGTGATCAAATAAGAGTTCAGCTCCAATACTGCATAACTCCACTGTTCTAAAACAGGATTGACATGGGGGCTGGGGGAAAATTAAGGAAAGGGGCAATAAATAATCAACACTGCATTGGAACTGATGAGGGAAAGAACTGTTTAAAAGGAATATATGATTAGGCATTATTTTTATGACAACAGTCCAGAATAAGAAGTGCATAGCAAAGTGGAATGGGGGAGGGTTGTGGATGGGGAGAGAGAAAATCATGCAACAATGAATGAATATTATATATTTTAAAGTGAACTGGGGAAGGGAGGGAAGAAAATGTGCAAGAATGAATGAATGAATGAAAATGCAACGTTTCTGAAAACTCACTGTTGGTGGTAGTGTAAAATGATGCAATCACTATGGAAGACTGTATGATGCTTTCTCAAAAGTTGTAAATAGAAATACCATTTGACTCAGCAATTCCACTACTGGGAATTTACCCTAAAGAAACCATAACTGCCACACAAGCAGATATATGAACACCCATGTTTACTGAGGTTTTGTTTGCAATAGCAAAGAACTGGAAACAACCCAACTGCCCATCAACAAATGACTGGATAGAGAAGCTCTGGTATATTCACACAGTCAAATACTATGCAACATTGAAAAACAAGGAGCTCATGAAATATTATGCAAAATAGATGACCCTGGAGGACATTATGCTGAGTGAAATATCTCAGTCAAAAAAGGGCAAATATTGCATAGGGCCACTGTTGTAAAACAGGACTGACATCAGGATTGAAGGAAGACAGAAAAGGAGGGATATATATTACATTGAAACAGATGAGGGAAAGAACTGTTTAAAAGGGATATATGAGTGGGTATTCTTGTCATTACAGAATTCCAGAGTGAAGGCTTCATAGTGGAGTGGACTTGGTGGGAGGGATTGCATAACAATGAAAAAGGTTTTCTTTTTCTTTTCAAGGAGAAGAGTGAATTGGGGGGAGGGGTGGCAGGGAGAAAAAGGCAACAATGAATGACTGGAAACTCTAAGTCTCTGTAAACTTTCATTTAAATTAATTTTTAAAAAATTACAATTTGAAAAAAAAAAGGAATTCAATTACAACTCACAGAAATCCCACAGGACTGAATAGATTGGTCACAGAATAGATTGGTGTTTCCAAGGCTGTAAATCATTATGGAAACAGGCTGCCATAGCTTTCTCCCACAGAGGAGTTGGTGGATTCAAACTGCCCACCTTTTGGTTAGCAGTCCAATGTTTTAACCACTGAACCACCAGGACTTTTTTTTAAGACCAGCCTTGATATTTATTGCTACCAACTGAGAACATTACCAAATCATAAGGCAAATGAAGGGGAGACAATTGTTGACTTGAATTTGTCTACAAAATGGATAGAGACTATTATTCAGACTTACTATCAAACTTTTTTTTATAATTTTTTTATTATTAATTTCAATGAAAATTTACAGAGACTTTTTGGATTTCCATTCATTCATTGTTGCACTTTTCTCCCCACCCACCCCTCCCTCCCAGTACACTCCCCTCTTGGAAACATAAAAGAAAAATTCTTTCATTGTTATACAATCCCTCCCTCCAGGTCCACTCTGTTATACAGCCTTCACTCTGGACTCCTGTAATGATAAAAATACCTAATCACATAACACTTTTAAACAGTTTTCTCCCTCATCTGTTTCAATGCAGTGTACATTACTGAACCCATCTTTCTCAGTCTCCTCCCAGCCCTGATGTCAGTCCTGTTCTACAACAGTGGCAGCATGCAGTATTTGTCCTTTTGTGACTGAGATACTTCACTCAGCATAATGTCCTCCAGGGTCACCCATTTTGAATAATATTGCATGAATTCCTTGTTTTTCAATGCAGCGTAGTATTCCATTGTGTGAATATACCACAGATTTTCTATCCATTCATTGTTGATGGGCATTAGGTTCTTTCCAACTCCATGCTCTTGTGAACAAAGCCGCGATAAACATGGATGTGCATCAAACTTATTTTTAAAACATATTACTTCTATAATCAGAAAATATAATTTCATAAAGAGTATATCTTCATTGTGATGGTTATGTGCTTTTGCGATGACTCTGACTCACAGTAACCCTCTGGACACCAGGTCAGGATCCTGCACTGACTCATGCCATTCTCATTATCTCTGATATACTCAAGCCTATTGTTACAATCACTGGGTCAACCCGTCGTGTTGAGGGTGTGTATAGTTAATTTACACTAAATGTTTGGATGTGACTCAAGTAGTTAGCTCTCCTAGTTGTTCATCATAAAATATAAGAACAGGGACAGGTGTACCCCCACCAGACCAAATCAGTCCTGGACCAAATAGAAAGAAACAACTGCTAGAACTGTACTGGAATATTATTTAAAGAGATACTTAGTATTAGACAAATAAATGTCCATGTCCTTCAATACCAAGATGTATGATGATAAATGACATAATTTCATAGGCTTTGTAAAATCTTACACTCTGCTTGCTTAAATAACAAGTAAATTATTAACAAAGGTGATCTCAGAGATGATTATTATTAGTTTATATTAATTTTCTAATGTGAAAAATGTTGTTACCAAATGTTCTGACTTTCATTAATATCAAATGAACAATTCCTAAAATCAGATTATTTCTATTTAGTTATAGCTATTTTTATATTCCTATGCTACAATTTGTTAAAATTGAACTCCTAAATTGTCAATCTGAGCTTAAACAGGCTTTGCAGAAAGAATTTTTAGTTGGTTTGACATTTGAAAATATTCTTTCTGTGAAGGATCCATAATACCTGTTACACCTAGCCTAAAGGGCTTGGGAAATTGAACTGCTAGCCCAAGAATCCAATTTCGACTCATAGGTATCATAAAGGACATAGTAGAATGGCCTCATTGTGTTTCCAAGGCTAGGAATTTTTATGGGAAAGGATTGCACATCTTTCTCCCAGTGCATGTCTGGCAGTTCAACCAGTGACTCCATGTAAGAAAGAAGGACCATTTCTTCCCACAGGATTCCCAGCCTCACACCCCAGCTGGAGGGTCAGTTTCGGGCAATGAGTTTAAGGGTTTATTTGGTTGCTTCCCACCGCCCCTGAAAGTGTAACTTTTATAAACACATTTTACATATGATCTTGAAACCAGAAAAATTTTTTTCATTTAATGTCCAACAAATTTAATAGAAGCATTAAATACTTGCATCTACTTCTTATTTATCAACTATCTCTTTCTTTGACATTCTGCATTTACAACAATAGTAGAAAAATTCTTTTACAGATTAACCAGATATGTCTGGCACCTAATATCAAGGTGTGAACTGAGAGTAATGTTGACTGTGATAGTTAAGGTTATGTGTTAATTTGGTTGGGCTATGCTCCTCAGTGGTTTAGCAGTTATGTAACAATGTAATTTGGTAATAACTTGTCAATTAAGCAATGATGTCACTATCTTCCAGTTTGTAATGTGATGTAGCCTTCTCCTATTTTTACATGCCAATTTTTGCATAATGATCTACCTTTGGAACTTAAGTGAGGAGTAGGTTTGGTTGAATTAGAAATAAATCTTTTTGCTAATTTCAATCATAAACCTTTCAGTAAGATTTAATATTTTTATATGTTGTTGTTGTTATGTGCCACCGAGTCGTTTGCGACTCATAGCGACCCTATGCACAACATCCCTAAACCCTGCTCTATCCTTGTGCCAATCGCACTGTCTCTGACACACCCATCCCGATTACCCCAGTCACTGAATCAATCCACCTCATAGAGGATCTTTTTATATACTTTGCTTTAAAAATTAATTTTTCAAAATCAACAAATAGATAAGATTGTTCTTCATATCTACAGGGAAATGTGTCCTTTTCTTGAAATTTTTTAAAACCATATAACTCTATTGGTACAAATCTTACATTGGATAAAAACATAGGTATAAGAAATATTTCACTTCTCCAGTTTGGGTCAGCTTTACCTGCATCCAAGTTTGTTCCTTTTCTATCCTTAATTTTTTCAAGTTCGGGCACATTCTGGCGTGCTTCTGTAAAATCATAATTATTCAAAATCAAACAGTATCCCCGAGGTTTGCTTTGCATTCGGTAAACTTTGTCCGATATCTGGAAAACAAAAATTCAACCCAAGAGCTGACATTTGGGTCAAACACCAGAGATTTGTACAAACAACTCATAGTGAGATGTTGCTCTGACCCGTACTCCAAACTGCCTTGCCAACTCAGGGTTATTCCCTCAAGGAACTAGTTTCCCCTGTTCCTGGAGGGAGGTGCACTTGTCAAGAAGGCTACAGCTTTAATACAAGTTCCAGTGGCCAGACTGAAGCACTTGACACAAACTCTCAATCGTGTCCCTGTGTCCTGTTCATTTCCTGGACCATTTCAGTGTTAGCATCATTAGGCATTTAGTTGGAAGTCTTGAAGTAAAGAAAGGGTACTAGGCAAGTTGACAGAATTCCTGGCTCTATTACTTAATAACCATAAAACTTTGGATAAGTCACCAATCTTTTTTTTTAATAATTTTAAGGAGCATTTACAGAGATTTTGGATTTCCATTCATTCATTGCTGTACTTCTCTCCTCCCCAGCCCTCCCCCCGCCCCAGTTCGCTCCTCTCTTTCAAAAGTAAAAGAAACACTCCCTCCCTGGGACACAATCCCCCCCCCTGCACCCCTCCCGCTGCCCCAAGTACATTCCACTATGCAACCTTAATTGTGGACTTTTGTGATAATAATAATATCCCCAACTGTGCAAGAGCTAAGGAATGCCAATAGAAAGGCTGGTGGTTCAAAGTCATTCAGTGTCTCTGTAGGAGAAAGACTGCATGGTTCCCTAGGAACCCTGTAGGGCAGTTCTACTTTGTTCTATAAGGGTTGCTACGAGTCAGAACTGACTTGGGAGTACACAAGACAATGCAATCTGTCCTTGGCTCAGTCTTCTTTGGACATTCAGTGGGGCAATATGACTTGACAGTGCTACTTACAAGTGCCACATTATTACAGTTAATCCTCAGGTTTTAGACTGAGAGAGGCCTGGTCGGGAGCCTGATGGCAAGTAGCATTTGAGGAGGAATGGATGGGGTAACTAGAATATATTGAATTAATTACTTCTGTATAAGTAGAAGTTATTATGTCCAGACAAGAAATTATTAGCTAATTCAGTCAAGATGAGGATACAGAAACTGCAAGATCATGAATTTTTGTTGCTTATATTAATCATATTATATTAATTAATTATATTCATTGTTTTTGAACAAACATTCTTCTTAGCAGTATTGCACCGGCCTGTCCATTTGCTGTACAGAGGTAACTCGTGGTTGTTGTGAAGCTGAACACTGTAGCACTGATGTATCAAATGTGATAGTGGGTACTCATGGCGGACAGTGTTTGGAGGAGCTCCCGGATTAAAACAAGCTTGGAAGCAGGAGTGGCATCCACTTCCAAAACAGCTTGCCTCTGGAAACTCTATGAACTTGGAGAAACAATGAAAGTTATACAAGTGTCTGGATCTTTTGTTTATAGGGTTGCTAACAACAACATATTAATCATAAGTGAAACAGAAATTTTAAACATCAGGCTTAAAAGATAAGGCTTTGATGTATGATAGGGTATTATGGTTATCACAAGAGTCCACAATTAAGGTTGCATCATGGAATGTACTTGGGGCGGTGGGAGGGGTGTGGGGGGATTGTGTACCAGGGAGGGAGTCTTTCTTTTACTTTTGAAAGAGAGGAGAGAACTGGGGGGCGGGGGGAGAGGGCTGGGCGGGTAGAGAAGTGCAGCAATGAATGAATGGAAATCCAAATTCTCTGTAAATGTTCATTAAAGACAAGGCTTTGCATTTTCCAATCCTGCGGAATAGACTTTCCCACAGCTCCCTGCCTCCATCCACGGTAGCAAGGCTCCTGGAAAGAATGGCAAAGACTAAGCATGTTCCAACACACTTTGCAGGGAGCTCTGGTGGCCTAGTTGTGAGAAGCTGCTCTGCAATCCTAAAGGCATGTGGTTCAAATCCATCAGATGCTCCATGGGAGAAGGAGGGACAATCTCCTCTCCTGCAATTAACTGCCTCTGAAAACCTGCTGAAGGGTCAGCTGTGGGTGGGTTACAACTTGATGGTACACAAAAATGACAACATACTTTACCCTCCAATACTTTGCCTTTTGTTTTAAAATTAAATTTAAATTCCTAGGAAATTGAAGGATCGTATTTTAAATATTAAAAAGCCACATTTTTCTCTTTTCCGGTTACTGTGGCTCTGAGAGTCATGAGCAACAAAGTCTATCGTTACACACTTTACGAGGCGGTGCCAGAAGTCCTGCACTGGAACCAGCACAAACACAGAAAGTTTTTGGAAACTGTGGAGCTGCAGATCCGTTTGAAGAACTATGACCCTCAGAAGGACAAACAATTCTCAGGAACCATCAAGTTCTCAGTGTGTGTTCTTGGTGGCAATAAAGCCAAGACTGTGGATATTTCCCACATGGACATCAAAATGCTGAAAAAATTCAACAAGAACAAGAAGCTGGTCAGAAAGATGGCCAAGAAGTGCAGACCCCAAGAAGGTCCAGGCCTGAATAAGGGTGGCAAGTTTCCTTCTCTGCTGACTGACCCACAGTGAAAACACGGTGGCCAAAGCAGATGAGGTGAAGTCCACCATCAAATTACAGATGGAAAAAGATCTTATGCCTGGCAGTGGCTGTTGGCCATACGAAGATGACAGATGATGAACTTGTTTACAACATCCACCTGGCTGTCAACTTTCTGGTTTCACTGCTAATGAAGATTTGGCAGAATGCTCGGGCTTTATATATCAAGAAGAACACCATAAAGGGAGCTCTGGTGCCCTAATGGCCAGATGCTGTACTGCAATCCCAAAGGCGGGCAGCTGGAATCCACCAGATGCTCCACTGGAGAAGGAGAGGCAATCTCCACCTGTGCCAGTCAGATCCGATTCAACAGTACACAACAATATATATAAAAAAGAAGAAATGGAGCTCTGGTGGCCTAGTGGCAAGAAGCTGCACTGCAACCACAGAGGTATATGTTTTGAATCCACCAGATGCTCTGCTGGAGAAGGAGGGACAATCTCCTCCTGTACCAGTCAGATCCAATTTAACAGTACACACACACAAAATAATAAATTTTTTAAAAATTAAAAAATAATAAGAAGAAAAGCACAATGGGCAAGCCCCGGCATCTGTACTAAGATACAGCTCAATAAATCTTACTACAAATTAAAAAGCCACATTTCAAAACTGTCTTTTGTGATTTTTTTCTGCATTTCACAAAATTTATATTAAGTTTATGCCCCTTGTTGATTTATCTGGCAGCTAAAAAGCTAACAAATTAATACAATAATTAGCATCTGCAAAGCAAGGAGGCGGGGGAAGAAAATGGAGGCTTCCTCATACCTGTGACTTACTTTCCAGTTCTCTTGGATAGTCAGCCATTGTCAGCTTTTCCAATAATTCTTGCCCTACAATAAGTGAGGGGATACATCTGGGATGAGACATTGCAAAGAAAGTACTTTGTTCAAGAAGCACATAGCACCCAGGACAGCATCCCATCACCATCAAGTCAATTCCATCTCATAGTGTTCTCAATTACAGAACAGAACTCTCCCTAAAGGGTTTACAAGATTGTAATCTTCATGGAAGTAGACTGCCCGAGTGAGTGGTGAGTTTGAACCACCAACTTTTCAGCTGGTAGCCAAGGGCTTAAAGACTGAGCCAGCAGGGCTTGTTTAGGCCAACATAAGGTCTATTTAAAAAAATATTCAAAGACTCAAATTAAAATTAAAAGACCTTGAATATTATCTTTCAGTCCACAGGGATGCCGAAGGCTGGGAAATTAATATGCTCCTAGAAACACAAGCTGTCTTCCCCAAGGGGAGAATACAGCCAAGAAGTGCCATCAGTTTATATTTCTTCACAATGTGAGGCTGAATTGTGTGGTGTTTACCAGAACACACTCAAACTCCAAACTCATGCTGTTGAGTCAGAACTGACCCACAACTGACTTTTTCTTGAGTTTTCAAAACTGCAAATCCCACAGGAGATTGTCCATCTTTCTTCCATGGAGCTGCTGGTAGATTTGAACCACCAGAGAGGCACAACCTTTGAGTTAGAAGTGCGACTCTTGGCATACTATATCATCAGAGCTCTCTAAAGAGGCCTAGGTCAGATGAATTTGAAAAGAACCTGAACCTCTTAAAGCCTTCTATCTGGGCAAGTGTGGAGAATAGGAGGAAGGCGGGATGTGTTAACATTGCTTATCCCATCCTTTTACTAGGAGCCCTGGGCACAATAGTTAAGTGCTCAGCAATTAATTGAAAAGTTGGTGGTTTAAACTCACCAGTAGCCTTGTGGGATAAAGTACCTGGCTCTCTGATTCTGTAAATATTCCAGTCTAGGAAACCTTATAGAGTAGCTTTCTGTCACACAGAGTTGTGATAAGTTGAAGCGGAACTTGGTAGAACCTAATAGCATCAATAATAATGAACAGAAAGCCATCCAATATTTTCTGTGCACACAGAGAGATGGAGAAGAGAGGCACACAAAGCCATAGTGAAAATAAGATTAAGGTATTAATACTTATTGGGTGATGGGACTGCTGAGTTTAAAAATAGTCCTCTAAATTTGAAATAATGTTGTGAAGGAGGCAGTCCAAGATGGCAGCATAGTCTGAGGCCTCATAATGTCCCTTGAGGAACAAAGACTCGAAAAAACAAGAGGCTCAGTTATAGAGGAAATCAGAAACAAAGCTCAAGAACTGGACTAAGGGCCAAGTAGATGGAGAGACTTTATAAAAACAATAGACACAGATAATTAAAGATCATTAATACCTTGCCAGCTGAATCTATGCATTGCTACCCGTAATAAGACAAAGCAAGGGGTACTCCCGCCCAAAGCCCCATCATCACCTGGTGTAGCCAAGCAGGAATGAATCTGAATCTCTTCTTGAAAGCCAGGTTGCAGTACTCCATGTCCTGCAAAAGTTAAGTGCATTCATCCCATTTACTATGCTTCTCCAGTCCTTCCATACCTGAGGCCCAAGAATCTGCAATGCTTCATCCATTCCCCTGCAGGCCACCATGGTCTGTTGGCGCTCATTATAATTCAGCTCCCTGAACTAAAGGCCAAGGTCCCACAGAGCAATGGTACCAGCTTCTCTGCCCAGCCACTAGTGTGGAGGACACACAGAATGGTGATGCCCATTTCTAATTCTAGCCACTGGCTGCAGGAACTCATGAACCAGAGGTTCCCACCCATGCCCACGCACCCACTCCAGAGCCCCACAGACCAGTAGTCCTTCCTGCTCCCTCCAGCCACCTCTGTTGGAGGTCCAATTACCACATCTAGTAACCAGAGGCATGTTCCTTTGGTGACTACCTGTAGACTGGTGGCATTTCCCCTCCTTGTACTTCACGTCTTACAACCAATGACCTCCACCCACTCCAACCAGCTCCCTAGCCCACCCTCGACCATTGGTGAGAGTTTTTATACCATCTATCCAGTGACTGACAACCCTGGCACCCTTGCTCCAACCAACCAGCAACTGGCAGAAGATGTACAACACTCAACCCAGCAGCCAGCAAGAACACTCTGCACCCACGCCCACAGAAGGCTGGCTGGAGAGTCATATCACCTCACCAACAATGCTAGCACCATCCTCAGTTACCTCGCAAGATCAGCATATATCTGCATTCACATACCCAGCTGTTGTCCTGCCCTACAAAGACAGGAGAGCTCTAGGCTAGCCAGAATAAAGGCCAGAGTAGCACACAAGATCTGCCAGTTGGACATAGAAGAAAGCAAAACAAAACTAAAATAAGGATGTATCAGACAAACATGTAACAAATAAATAACATTTCAATGCCTCAGAGATCACTCATGCTATATAATCACATTAAAAAGCAGGACAGGACGACCCTATCAATAAAGTTTCAGAAAGCCTTCCAGAAGAACAGGTAATGGAACTACCTGACATGGAAATTAAAAGACTACTATATAGGATTCCCCAAATGATAAGAAAAACACAAACAAAAACAAAAGAAGCCTGGACAAAATTAAGGAAGACACAAAATGATAGAGAAATTCAGGAAAACAATAGAGGGGGGTAAAAAAAAGTCAAGATAAATGGACAATTAGAAAAAGCCATCCAAAAACTGCAACCAGAAAACAAAATTATTGAAAATCAGATTTCAGAAATATACATTAAGGAGGACATATAAGCATTGGAAGATAGTGAAACAGGGGGTGGGGTGGGGGTGGGGGATTCCCTAGAAGACAATGTGTTGGGGGTAGGGAGAATCAGAAGAAAAAAATGAGCAAAGTCTAAAAATTATGTGGGGACTATCAAGAGGGGAAATTTACACACAATTGGGATCCTAAAATGTTGTTCCTGCTGAGTTAGAATTGACTCAGAGCTGACCCTTTAGCAGGTTTTCAGAGGCAGTAAATTGCCTAAAGGGACACTGTCCATCCTTCTCTGGTGGAACAGCTGGTGGATTTGAAGTGCATGCTTTGGGGATTGCAGCTCAGCTTCTTACCACTAGGTCACCAAAACACCTTTCCAAAATGGCCAAAAAGAAAATAAAAATCAGAATTATTGAAAATTAACTGGCAAAAAGACTCCCTCATATCACAAGGTGAGGAAGGATAGGCAAGTTCCTCCCGTGTGGATTAATGACCTTCTGGAGGTCAGTTATGGGTCAGTTCTGATTTGATGGTACACAACAACAACAACAACAACAATATTATAAGAGATGAACAAACTCTATAAAGGATAGTCACCAAGACATCATAATCAAACTCATCAAAACCAAAGACAAAGAAAGAGAGAATCCTGAGAGCAGCTTAAAAATGAAAAGTCACCTACAAACAGGAGATAGTATGATTCAGTTCTGATTACCTGGCAGAAGCCATGAAGGTAAGAAGATAATGGGTTGAAATATATTAAATCAGAAAGAAAAAACTGCCAACTAAAAATTGCAACCCAGAAAAACTATCTCTCAAATGTCATGGTGAAAAATAAGTACATTTCCAGATAAATAGAAAATAAGGGAATTTGTCAAAAGCAGATCAACCTTGTAAAAAATATGAAAGGGAGTTCTCTGGAAATTTAAAGGGAGTCCTGCAGACAGACAGCCAACAACATTAGACAACTTGAGGGCATTAGACAAGTTGAGGACAGCAAGATACCAAACCAGTTAAAGATTTACCAAAAATCAAACAAAGTTAAAAGACTAAAAACCACGAACCAGAGACATTAACCTGTAAATGATAACAATATCAAAACAAAAAGGAAGAGTAAATGATGTATTTATAGATCACTTACACAGAGAGGAAGTTAAGGAGATATTGAGAAATGTTTTTAAAATTGAATCAATTTAGACTTATCAAAGACAGTTCCAACAAATAATATCAATAGATACATAGGTAGACAGGAATAGCAAAGATATGTGGGAGGAGTGGAAGGGAACCTGCCAATCTGCATCATTTTATAGTTAGAATGGCTTTTTAAATAATTAAAATGTTTGTGGAGATTCTTGTGATTCCTTTGTTCTTATTTAGCCTGGTTTAGGCAGGTAGGAAAAAGGACAAAAGACTGAATTTCTTCTTTGGGATAAAAAGAATAATTGGAGAGTAAGCATGCAGATGATGCAGAAAGAATAACTCAACTCACATTCAGCCTAAGAATCTTTGTCGACAAGGAAAAATTAAGCTGGTCTTAATGAAGACATCAAGGATGTAACCAACGGGTTCTGAGGATTTCTAGAGTTCAGTTCATTGTTGTTCTTAGTTACTGTTTAGACCATTTTGACTCGTGGTGATCCCATGTGTGCAGAGTAGAACTACTTCAAAGGGTTTTCTAACCTGAGACCTTTCAAGACCAGATTTCCAGACCTGTCCTCCAAGGTCCCTACAGAGGAGTTTGACACAGGTGACTACAAGCAGCCACTGAAGTTTCATCCGGATGTTAGGAGAGTAGGTCCTTTAAGATGGAGACAGAGTAGAAAGTCTATGAAGCAAAGCAGGAGAATATCTGAGAAGAAATGAAATAAATCTTATCTTTAAATAAAACTTATCTTTAAGTATTACCATTTGAAAATCCATCTGGACTTCTGTCAAGGGGCATTTCTTGTTCTGAAGTAAAAAGACACCCCCCCACACACAATATTTTATTAGCAACAATGTTGACATAGAAGATTTTGTCAAATTTAAGAACACATTTTGCTTTCATGTAATTTCTACCTTTCAGTAAGTCTTCATAATCATTGATCTTCACCAGCAAGCTCTTATTGACTTGCTCACAGATTGTTTTCAGGACGTCCAGTTTTCTTTCACTCAGCAGAAGCTTCTTCTCCATCTCTATGAAAAGATCGAGCAAGAGCTAAAAAGGAGAAAAGTAAAGGTGGAAAAAGACTGGACTGAGTGATACTGGCTTTTAGAGAGCATTTTTTTTTTCTCTCCCATTTTCTCCAAACCCAAGGCTTTCTTCCTGAAAGGGAGTGCTGGTTTTATAAAGTCAACTGATTAGTCAGGATGTAAAGGGAGGACAGTTCTATGTTTTCTGCCCCAGATGGACTCTAAAGAGAGAATAAAAGAGAAGCCATGCCAGCTGTCACTTAGTCTAGTCCCCAGGCGAGGTGACACCTCTATGTGACAGCTGAGAGGTAGCCTGAGGCGCCTGGCTGAGATATATAACAAGCAGTCTGGGGCCATGATGACAACCTTGAGACTGTCTCACACTTCAATCTTTTGTCTCTGGCACCCAACCCATTCCTAGTCCTGACCTTCCTCCTTTAACCTGCCTCAGTTCCAAGTTTCAGATTGTTTCAGGAACTGCAAAAGTAATGACAAATCTCTCACATTCATTGATACCTGTCTTCTGGCTCATCAGGGCCCCATGTTGGACTGTGCCTTAAGGGAAAACCAAACTTTTCTCCTTATTCCTCATAATTAATGTAAGTAGCAACTTAACAGCCTTCAAAGAAACTATATTTACAACACCTATGTCTGCTGACTTTCTTCTTCCCTGGTTAAAAAGTGAGAATCCAGGTTGCTTGTCCTTGAAAAAGCCTCCCCTTCAAGCATAGAAATCCCCACTACCTGACTAATTCCCAGGAATAGGGCTTGGCAGGATATCAGTCTTACCACGTTGTCATCATCCAGTTTATTTTTTGGAATATCCTTGTCCAAAAAAAACTTAAAAGCCTTTAATTCCTCTTTGCTTACGTCTTCAAAAATCTGAAAAAGCATAACCCTGTGGTAGGAAAAGAAGACAGTTTAGACTTATTTCTTAAATAATATGCCATTTGTACCGGCTCACAGTAGACTTTATTCCAAAGTCTTTCCTTTAAAATAAAATTATTAATGACACTATGTATGATTTGAATGCTTAGAAATGTGATGATTCCCACATTTTGTTGGAGATGACACTATTATCTACATTTTAGGGAGGTGATCAGGATTAAACAAATAAAATGAAATGAAAAATAAATATCAAATTAATAAAGTGCTTAAAACAATGGTTGGCACACAGAAATTGGTGCTGTTGTGGACCATCGACCCGCTCCAGAGGGTTTTCAGAGGCAGTTAAAAGCACGGGAAAAAATTTCCCATCCTTCCCCCACTGGGCAGACGATGGATTTGAACCACATTTCTTTTGGATTACAGCACAGATTCCTACCACAGAGAGCCCTATTAGCTGTGTGTGGGCAAAGAATGAGCAATTGCCTCTGAAAACCTGCTGGATAAGTGTTAAAAATATTTTACTCTGAGTTGATTCTGGTTCGTGATGAGCCCCGTGTGTTACAGAGCAAAAGCGGTCCATGAATCTTTCTTTAAATACTTTATACTGTGATTTGAGTGACATTTTATACAACAATTTGGTTTTCCTTTCATTTGTTTGTTTTATCATAATAAATACAATCTCCACATTGTAACAGCACTTTTCCTGCACCCCTCCTTGTGATTTCTATTTCCATTCATCTGTCCACTCTATCCCTTTGTGCCTTTTGAGTTTTATCCCTTTTGATCTTGTATGGTTGATTGTTCTAAAGAGTAAGTCCCTCCTTGGTAGAGTTGTTCATTCACATTCTGTTGGAGATGATACTATAGCTACATTATAGGGAGGTGGTAAGGATTAAACAAATAAAGTTAAGTGAAAAAGAAATACTACACGGACAAAGACCTTAAACCAGTATTTGGCACGTACTAATTGTTCAGTAAGTGATAAAAATCTGGTTTTGTTCATCTTATAGGCCTTGTCTATTGTTTGGCTAACTTTGAACCACAGTGGTAAGCTTCGTTCCAGGCTGAAATTGTGGAAGTGAAGGGTCATAATTTCAGGCCTCTGCCAGTCTCTATCAAATAAGCAGGACTGACTATTTTTATGATTTTAAATTTTGATTAAAATTTCCTTACACTCTGTTCAGGACCCTCTAGTATGATTCCTTTTAGAGCAACCAGCAATGGCAGACAAGTACCATCTATTTTTCTGTTCTCTACATCATAAAAATTGAGGGTTTTGTGGTCTATTCATCCTTTGGATTAACTGTTGTTGCCACAGTTACATGTCATCAAGTAGGAACCTACTCTTAGCGGACCCTCAAGAAGGTCTTCAGAGGCTATAAATAGCAGAAGAAGAGACTTCCCATCTCTCTCCCAAGAAGCAACTGGTACATTCAAATTGCCTGCCTTTGGGTTGGTAGTGCAATTCGTTATCCATTAGGATAATTGGGATTAATTATTTCTATACATCTTCACTCTTCTTTGTTCAAGACAGGGAGAGACCCACAGTTGCCCCTTACATGTCTACTTTTAAACTTTTAAGACCCCAGTTTCTTCTCAATAAAGTGGGACACAAAATTCTGTGTTTGTAGTATGGTAATTGGCCTTCAAGGCCTTCATTTCTCCAAAGACTATGGTCTTGAGGCCCTAGACCAGCACTTGATTCCCTCAGGGCATTTGTGTATGATTAAGAAGTTTTCCTAACTTTGCCTGCTGTCGGCTCTACTATGTGAGTATATTTATAGCATATGCAAATACGTTTGTAGAAATAGCATCAGTCAAACCTATGTAAGATCACAAGTATGCATAGGATTTTCTGGAGTATAGACTCTGTGGGAGCAGGTTGACAAGCCATTCTTACAAAGCACTACTGAGTGAGTTCAAACCTCTAACTTTTAGGTCAGTAATCAAGTGCAAACTGCTTACCTCTTGCAGGGACAGGTCTCATTGTGTCTTGGTATATACTTGATTTGGAATATGCTCGTAGAATGGATGAAAAAGGTATATTTTATATGCCAGCAAACTTTTCAACATTGCAGGTGGAAAGGAAAAGATCTTTAAGTTCAAAACATTCTAACTTTAAAAATTAAACTAGAAAATTAAAACTTTTTTAAAAAAATGTGTAGACACAGAAGTTGTTCTGCATTATCTCGTCGATCTTCTCAAGGAATCTCTATCTAGAAGATTTTATATAACTCAACTCATTGCCATCAAATCGGAACCAATTCATAACTAATCCATTAGTGGATTTTCAGGGGCTATAAACTGCACAAGTGGAGACGGCCAGTCTTTCTCCCTTGGATCAGGTAATGGATTCAAACCACTCATCTCTGGGTTGGCAGCATAACTGTCTACCCACTAGGCCATCAGAGCTCTCTCAGCTTGGCTAGGATTGAGTACAATTGAAAGCTACTGTGACCCTTTTACCTTTATTATGTTGTTATTTGCCATCAAGTTGACTATGACGCATAGTGACCCTAGGAACAATAGGTCTGAACTCTGCCCTATCCTAAGACAACCTCACCTTCTCTGATTCACCTGATCCCCTTGCCACTGTCACCGTGTCAGTCTATCTCCTCCCAGGTCTTCCTCTCCTGTGCTGACTCTCCATCCTTCTAAGCATGATGTGCTTCTCAAGGATTGTCCCCTTCTGGCAACATGCCCAAGGTATATTAGACAGAGATTCAAAATCTTTGCCTCTGAGAAGCAACTTAGATTCACCCTCTCTGGGACAAACTTATTTGTTCTCTCGGCAGTCCATGGTATGTTTTAGTATAAGGTATTTTACAATAAATATTGTAATAAAAATGGAAAAGCTTATGACTTAAAAAACATCTTATTACAAAGCAATTTACTTTTTTCACTTTCCTCATTACCGAAAGTTGCTGGCTTTCATGTGCCATTGTTCTCAGAAACTTGGACTATTTATAAGATATTTATTTTACAGGAAACAATTCTACTTAGAAACCAAAATATCTACTTATGACGACTTATTTCTATATGGAAGGAAAATACATCACTTAAAAGTAGGAAGTGTCCGCGTTAGCATATTCTGCACCTGCTGGCTACTATCCAACACTGACAAACAAGCTGTGAGTTGGGATTATGCTGGCCCTTTTATTTCCAATCTCATGTGTTACAGATCTTGCCAGGCTTTTTCTTATGTGGAAAGTCTTAGTCCACATAGTCTGGTGCTAGTGATTGCCTCACATGGAAGAAGATGTGACATTTGCAAAATGCCAAGACAGTAGTAATATTGAATAAGACCCTTCAGCTTTTCCTAGCTCCGGGGCTGCTGTCTTTTAGGATTAACTGATATTTATTAATAGATTTCATTCTTTTTGTTGCGTGTACCGTCAAATCAGATCTGACTGGTACAGGAGGAGATTGTCCCTCCTTCTCCGGCAGAGCATCTGGTGGATTCGAACCATTCGCCTCTGGGATTGTAGTTGCAGCTCCTTGCCACTAGGCCACCAGAGCTCTCCTAATAGATTTCATGATTCTACTAGATTAAAACTATCCTTGATATCTCTTTTTGTCATTTAAAATCAAAACAACTAAGCTTCAGACTAGTCATGATCAGACTAGATAAGGAACATGTTAGATCTTCAGATCTCTGAGAAGGACCAGGGCATTAATGAAACCAGTTGCCATGGAGCTGAATCTTACTCACGACAATATTAAGTCTCAGAGGCAAATCGTCAGGCCTTTCTTGTAAAGTACTGCTGCTGTGTTTGAACTGCCAACCTTTAGGTTAGTGGTCAAGCCACTAACCATTCACAAACTATTCACACCACCTAGATACTTCTGTTGCTATTTACTCAAAACCTCAGACTCATCACCGTCTTGTCAGGTCAACTCCTAGCTGACCTTCCAGCTGGTCATTGAGCGTTCAAATCACACAGACAGAGACTGTACATCTATCCCCTTGGAGCAGCTGGTGAATTTGAACCTCCAGAGAGAAGCTGCCTTTGGATTAACAGCACATCGTCCTATGCACTGTGCCGTCTGAGCTCTTTCAAGTCAGTTAGGACCTCTAAATGTGTTCACCTGACTTCAATGGGATGTTTTTTCCCAGAGCCTCCAAAGTCATGCCACACAGACAATCCTCAGTAAACCCTGCCCACAAAGGTACATCCATTTAACTCACACACCTTCAGGTCACCAAACTGTGGAGGTTCTGCTCACCTGTAGGGTGAAATCTGGGCTTTGCCTGGCATTCGAAGCTCACGCTCCATCATCTCCTTAGTGACCTTAAAGTATCTGAGCAGCAGATCGAGGCTTTGAATGCGGAAAAGCAATTCCTTCAAGAAGGATGGGTTACTCTCCTCCAAAAGTCTCTTTTCCTGAAGTGCAGTGAAGAATGTCAAGGGGTCCTTAATGTGTTCCTGCTTTCTCTGTGGGATGTAGTCCAGACTCAGGAACTTGAGGGAAGCCAGTTTTTCATTGTCTAGTTGTTCCCCAATATTATGCAGAAGACTGTTGAAATCCATGATTGCTAGGAGAATGCAGTTGCAACCTAAAAGTATGTAAAAATATTTTATATTCAGCATAGACATTATCATCAGTATCATGTGCTGAATTGTTTCTTCATCAAATGCTATTATATCTGCTGTATGTCATATGTTTTGTTGTGGAGACCGTAGATAGAGTAGGGTAAAGACACACACACACACACAGAGAGAGGAAATCAGGTTCCTATTCTCAAGAAGCTTCTATTTGTTGTTGTGTGTCATCTCTTTGATTCCAACCCACAGTAACTCTATAGGGCCAAGTAATCCTACCCTCTAGGTTTCCTACTGTATATTGTGACAGCCAATTGTCAGGTCTTTCTCTCTCAGAGTTACTGGTGGGTTTGAACTACTAACCTTTTAGTGGGCAGCCAAGCTCTTAATCATTGTACCACCAGCCTCCAGAGCGGGGCATTAGGCAGCAAGTGAACTTTAAGCTTTGTGCCTCTATAGATCCTTCACTTTTAGGGTTTTTTTAAAGTCACTGCTGTCCAGCTAATTATTTTCCCCCCAGTTAATTCTGACTCATAGTGACCCTGCACTGGGTTTCTGAGGCAGTAAAATTTTATAGCAAGACAGTGTCCAGCTTTCCTCCATAGTGTGTAGACACAGAAGTTGTTAAGTGTTATCTGATTCATCTATCTTCTTATGGAATTTCTATCTAGTTTTTTTATAACTCAGCTCAGGTGGCAGGTAGCTTTGAACTGCTAACCTTTCAGCTTGCAGTCCAACATGTTACAAACAAAAGCACCAAGGCTCCTTCTATTAGGAATGTAAATATACATACAAGGGAAAGTGACAGGGTGCAGTGGTAAAACAGAGAAGTAAATCCCAATTCAGCTTCAACTTGCCCATCAGTATGTTGTTGTTGTTGTTGTTGTTGTTGTGTACCTTCAAGTCAGAATCATAGCTGACCCTTCAGTGGGTTTTCAGAGGCAGTTAATCATGTAGGAGGAAATTTCCCATCCTTCTCCTGCTGAGCAGCTGGTGGATTCAAATGGTGTGACTTTGGGATTGCACACAACTTCTTACAATTAGACCACCAGAGCTCCCCATCAGTATAAGAAGAGTTAAATAAACTATTATTCATAATTGGTGGGAAACCATTGGGCTATTAAAAGAACAGGAAGGACAGCATAGTTAGGTATGTGCAATCTCCTTATGCACTATGAAGTGGTACGTATATATGTATATGCGCAAATATCTAACAAACACACAGCAAACTGGCTTCAGCAGCTGTCTCAGGAAAGAGGAACTATCCTCTCTAGCAAATCTTTTATGCATGTATAAATTTCCTCTGTAGGTGAACACTGCATGTTTCTGTACCATAAGTAGATTTTCAATTAATATTCTAAGTTTGCAATACTGTCTTCATTTACTTTCCTTCAGTATGATTTTTGAATCTCTGTAAGCTATTCCCTGCTACGATGGACCACAATTTATATTGCCAACCCCTAATTACATTTAGGATGATTTTAAAGTGTAACTCTCCATTATACCTCTAATTATTTTCTCGGAATAATTTTCTAAGAGTAGCATAACTGGGTCAAAAAAGAATGAAACAAAACACTTTAAGGCTCTGGTTACATACTCAATAGCATTTTCTAATAGTTTATCATGAAACACCTAATAAAATCCCACCCCAGGAAGTCAGGAGTTCGCATAGTATCTAATCATCACTTGAACCCTGTCTTCTGTAAACAGTTCACCTCACCCATTTCATCATCATTGCAATAACAAAATAATGTCTTTCAAGCAATTTTTGCATCATGCTATTACTAACACTTAGAAGAGGAAAGGAGATTGAGCTTCTCCTTTTAGCCCAGGTTTTCCGGAAATACTGTGATAGGGTATGGTGTTGAGGGTTTTGCATTTGTTTTTATGTTAAGGTCACGTGGTTTGCTAATGTTATTTTCTCAAAAGTAACCACTTGCATAGAATGGATGAAGCCGTTAACTACAGGCATGCGTTCAGGCCTCCCGTTCTGTAAATAGAGAGGCCAAGTTGCTTTAAGGAATCTTGAGTTCCTGCCCAAGTTCACACACTAGAGATGTTATCAAGTCAATACCGTAAAACTTTTTCTATCTACAATCTTATTCTTTTCTGATTTTAAATTCTGAAAGTTACATGTGCTTCTTACAGAAAGTGCTGAAAAGTATAAAGAAGAAAATCACTTAGAAACAGCTCAGAAGTCATTCTCCTGATCACATGTTGGTGATTTTCTTTCTAATTTTATTCATATGTAGTTTTATATAGAAATATACACTTATCACCACAACATAAAGGTAAACAACCCAATCGAAAAATGGGCTATAACAGGATATGAGCAGACACTTCACCAAAGAAGACATTCAGAAGGCCAAAAACACATGAAGAAATGTTCAAAATCCCTAGCTCTAAGAGAGATGCAAATCAAAACAACCATGAGATATAATCTGACCCCAGTAAGAATAGCAAAATTTAACAGAAAAGCAAGCAACAAATGCTGGCAAGGTTGCAGAGAAACTGGAACTCTTATTCACTGTTGGTGAGAGCGTAAAATGGTGCAACCACTGTGGAAGGTTGTATGGCGCTTTCTCAAAAAGTTGGAAACAGAAATACCATTTGACCCAGCAACTACTGGGAATAAACCATAAAGAAACCATAACTGCCACCCAAGTAGATATATACACACCCGTGTTTATTGCGGCTTTGTTCGCAATAGCAAAGAGTTGGAAATAATCCAAGGGCCCATCAGCAAATTAATGGATAGAGAAGTTGGAATACTATAATGCATTGAAAACAAAAAAACTTATGAATTATTATACAAAATGGGTGACCCTGGAGGACATTATGATGAGTGAAATATCTCAGTCACAAAAAGATAAATACGGTATAATGCCACTGTATAAAACAGGACTGACATGGGGGCTATTGGGAAACTAAGAAAAGAAGGGATAAATAATCTCATGGCATTGAAACAGTCGAGGGAGAGAACTGTATAAAAGAAATATATGATTAGGTATTACCGGCATGACAAGAGTCCAGGATAAGAGCTGCATAGTAAAAGTGGAAGGGGGAGGGGGAGCTCTATAACAATGAAAGAACTTTTTTCCCAAATTAAAAAGCAATGGTGGGGGGGGGGGTGGGCAGGGAGGAAAATGTGCAACAATGAACAATTGGAAACCCAAGTTCTTTATAAACTTTCATTAAACTCTCAATTAAAAAAAATACACACTTATGTGAAAACATGAATTTACACAGGGACCTCGCAGCCACAGGTTTCATATAACCCAGTAAAAATGTTCACATTACAATTAAACGTTTAATATAAAATGAGAAGTATTATTTTCAAACAGAATTCAGTTCTAACTGCATTTATAAATTCATCACCACAGGAGTACAGCTCACTGAGTTTCGTGGTTTTATGTCTACTATTATATCATTTTGTATTTTTTTCCGTTTCTTTTTTTTTAAAAATGCTAAGCATGTATGTGTGTGTGTGTGTAATTGTAATTGCAATTGTAATTGTAATGAGTGCAAGCCAAGTCAGTTAGTATTCAAATTTTGGTTTCTTTGACAATCTAGGCCAGAATGACGAGGAAGCCTCCAAACACTTGTATTTGGAAACTTTCAGGAACTCCTAGAACTGCAAAAAATTTAGTTCAGGAAGTCTTCTAAATCTGGAAACGAAAGGATTCTCTAGAAAGCTCCCAGACAGACTGCAAACTCCCCCATGGCTTCCCATGTACACTCAGATAACAGCATCACCTCCATAGCAACATGGCTCACCCTTAGCCGACGAGAAAAACTCCAAAGGCGCAGGTCTTCTCCCAAAAAGCCCGGTTGATCTCGCCAAAGAGGTAAATCCTGGAGCCCACACTAAAGCAGCAATTTCTTAGGCCTCAAATCACCACCCACTTATCTGAGAAAAACCAAATGAAGAAATGAAGAACCCGAGAGAGACTTCCTGGTTGACGCAATTTCCTGAGTGCACAGCGCTGAGCCAGAAGGGTGAGCAGGCTGAGCAGAAATGCCACTTCCTAGGACAGGCCAGCTGGTGCAGGGCAGAGAGCCCCGAGCGGGAGGGTGCTCACCAGACCTGTGCTTGTGCTCTATGCCTTCGGATGAGCCATTTTGCCTTTGGGGCTCCAGCTCAGTATCTCCAGAGATTTGGACTGGATGTTAACGAAGAAATTTCCACTTTATCATTTTAGAATTTCACAGATTGTTTTCCTAAATCCATCATGAAGACCTTAATGAGTTCACTCAATAAATATATACCGAACTAAGGTCCCTTGGTGGTACTGAGAGTTAAACACTCTACTAGGAGATTGGCAATTGGAACTCATCCAATAGGAGTGGCTCGGAAGACCTAGCGACCTGCTTCTGAAAGTTCACAGCTTACAGAGCACAGCACTGTGCTCACATGAGTCAGAACTAGCTCAACAAAGGCAACTGATTTCAGTTTTTGGTTTAAGGTCTCCAACATCTAGAAATTATTGGGCCTTCACCAAGACTCTCAGAGGAAATGCTAACTCTCACAGCTAACTCGAGTGGTTTCCTCAAATCCTCTCAAATAAAAAGATCACCTCCATGTCCCTGAGGCTACCAGATCCCACTCTAGATCTTTCTAGAAAATCATGAATTAAAGGCTTTACTCCCCAAAGACCCAGGAATCTTAACACAGACTATCCTGGGACCATCCCAGGCCCTGCAAAAACAAAAACAAACAAACAAACAAAAAACCACCACAGAAACCCCTACCCTCAATGCTTTACATCAAATGAAATACTTTTCAATATTAAAAGCGGAATAACTGAAAACCAGCATCTCTCTTCTTTGAAACTGGCATTTGCCTTTATTCAAATGGAAGGTGGATGTAGAGCACAGGGACCACCTTACATGGAGAGGAGGGAAAAGGGTGTCTGAAAGACCCGATTCTCCTTTAGCGGTTTCTGTTGCTGTTGTTGTTGTTGTGTGCTTTGAAGCCAGACCAACTT